TGGGGGGGGGGGGAATTTGTGGACATCATCACGTTTTGGTGGGAAAATATGAGATGAGAATCTCTTATATTATCGGCATATGATTTCGAATAAGAAAAAACAATCTAAAATGCTATAACATTTATATGGAAACACAACGAGGGAATCGTCTTGTTCCAACTCAGGATTGTGTCAAGGAAGAATATGACATGATATCTCTTATCTGGTAAGAGACACTGCAGTTTCGAATGACAATGTATACCAAAAACCTCAATTCAATCTCTATCTGTTGAGGAGCTTCTTCCTCTAGACTTCATCCCATCTTCTGTGAGATCGAGGCTTCCATTACCCGCGTCAACCGTTCTTTTAACGGGCCTTCGCTCAGATCACGCCTCAGAGTTCCGGCAAACATCCCACCTGCAAAGGCAACTGGTTCCTAGAGAGCAAATAAAACCACCTTAGAAGAAGATAAGATAGCAGTAATCATAACAATCAATCTCAAACTACAAAAGGTTAGATGGTGAATCAAAGTGATAATTATTAATCACAACATGACATCAACAGAAAACAAAAGAAGAACTAGGTGTTCTGCGGATCAGACAGAGCAAGCAAGATACTGGAAGTGAATTCACAAGAGCTCCCACATTTCGACAGTTAAAGCAAGAGTTATTAAAACGTTGTTTCTGGTTCAATCACAGAATCGTTTCAAGCCATACCATTGAGTTTCTGCTTCAAATAGGATATCATCAAGATACATGACAAGAAAATAGAATCTCATCAAGTTCAGAAGAAGTTTTATGCTCATTCTCTGAGTTCTGAAATTGCATATGAATAGCAGTTCTCGACCATCAAATGAAGAAACATGAAAACAAAGAAGTTCAAAGAGCTTTCAACAAACTAAATACAGGACAAAAGAGTTCACCTCTTCGTGATGTCCATGAGAGAAAACACGAGTACTGCCACTACAGAATCACTATAAAAGAAGATCCAGAAATCCTCCCTCCAATCTACCGTCGTATATCATATATATCAACAAATTCATGGTCGATGTATCTGCAGGAAACCCACAATTTCTCATTTCTTGTAGCAACTCGATAACCTCTGATGTAGAGCCATGTCTGAGATGACCCCGGATGATTGCGTTATAAGTGCACTCATCTGGCAAACAACCCATCTCTTTCATATCTCTGAACAGCTTTTGGGCTTCAGCGAGTAAACCTTTTGCACAAAATCCAGAGATCATTATATTATATGTCCAAACATTTGGTTTCACCCCTTTACCAAGAAGAAGGCAATTGAACAACTCCAACGCCTTATCAAACTTATCAGCCATACACAAACCATGAATGAGAGTAGTATGTACAACTATATCGAGCTTCATCCCACTATTTTCCATCTTATTATATAACTCCAGTGCCTCTTCTAGTTTTGCATTTTTGCAAAGACCATCAAGTAAAACGTTGTAAGTAATAAGATCAGGACGAATACCATGAGATTGCATCTCTAGAAAAAGCTTTTGGGCAACATCAATGCTGCCTACTCGACAAAACCCATGGATGAGAGAGCTGTAAGTAACTATATTAGCAACAACTCCTCTTCGAGACATCTCACTAAAGAGCTCCATAGCTTCTTGAGACTTTCCCTCTTTAATAAAATTACCGATTAATCCATTGAAAGTGACAACATTGGGAGTGATTTGCCTTTTGATCATTTCATTCAATACTTGCATGGCATCACTCCATCTACGAGAACTACATAGGCCGTTTATCAAAGTGGTGTAGGTAATTACATTAGGCGCAACTCCATCTTTTTCCATTTGGTCAACCAAACTTAAAGCTGCAGAAAGCTTCAGTTCGATGCAGAGCCCATTGACCAGGCTATTGAATGTGACTACGTTAGGCTTATAACCAAGTTTCAAGGTCTTTCCCAAAACCGAAAAGCCTAAAACCACCCGACCTGAACGGCATAAACAGTTGACAAGGATATTCAAAGTGTACTCGTCATGTGAAACCCCGACCAATTCCATTCTCTTGCAAAGAGAAATTACGGTATCGTACTTTTTCATTTTGGTCATTGCACCAAGTAATTTATTGAACTCAACAACGGAAGGGAGGGGACGAGATCGAACCATCTGATTGAATAACTCAACATCATCAATGGCATTAGAGATAGAACTGCTGAATCTCAGACTACTATTACCAACGCCACATCTCAATCTCTCCTCAAGAGAGATAGAACCGCTGAATCTCAGACGACGATAGAGAAAAGTGGAGGGACGAGAATGAACAAAACCTGAAGCAGAAGCAAAAGTAGAAGCGGTCACTCTCCGAATCATCGAAGACATCTGAGCTTCAGCGCAAAGACAGATGCGGAAACAGACCTCAGGATTCTGAAAACGAAAGCTCCCAAGCTGTCAACTGCGAAAAAAACTCGCCTGAGAAAACCCTAACCTCATTACCTACTCTCTTTTCCTTCCTCTCCTCGTCGCCGCCAGAGAAACCCTCTTCGTTTTCTCTCTGCAAATGGCGTTCCCTCTGTCGAAGAATACGAAACCATGAACCTAGAAAGAACCCTCGGACAGAAACGGCGTCATTTCTTAAAGTTCCTAAACCGACCGTGAAATTGCAATTATAATCAAACCGCGCGTTTTCCTTCGGTTTCTGGAAAACCGAACCCCAAGGGCCAAACCCTCTGAGCGAATCGGAGAATCATAGAGACCGTGCCTCTGAGATCGTCGCACGGTTATCCGGTCGAAGTCTTTTATCATGACTTGTTTTTTTTGGACAGTAAACTATGGTGAAATGTAAAGGTTTCTTATTATTTTCGTCAATAATGTTTCTCTTCTATAAATAAAGTTGGTTTCCAGAGATTATTGGAGCAACCAAAAAATCCCATTGTACATATACTAAGTTAAAACTCGAGAGCCGAGGATGTCTTGGGGTATCCCCTGTACTCTATGTTTTTCTTCGAAACACCGAGAGATGCGCATATCATGTTGAATTTAACCCGGAGATCATCCTTTATCTTGTCGATGTTCTCGTCCTCGGGATCCAAAAGCGGGTAATCATCGATCAAAACTTGGAATTCCTTGAGCTGTTTCTGAACCTGGGAGGAGAATCTGGCAGGATGAAGTTGGAGGGCAGAGTTCCATACGGAAGAGCAGCCATTGTAGAAGCCGAGAAGCTCACCGGTTTCGAAACCATGTTTCAGACCGAGATGGCGAGCGTCTTCCCGACCTGACATAATCCCAGCTTCGTAACCTTCTTCAAACCCTTGTTTCATGTGGTTGTCTTCGAGACAAAGCGATGAATCGAAGAGATCTTCCATGGAATTGGATTGAAACTGATCCGCCATCTCAACAGCAACTCTCGACACTCTACTCACTCTGTCTTATACATCTACAAGAAATAACAAAGTCAAAACAATATCTGAAGAGATATCATTGTTGTACTTCTTAGACGACGCGAGAGTAAAAAATATCAAAACAAAGAAACACGAGCCCATCATCCGAATTCCATGGAGAAGAAAACCCAAAACAATAACTAAGAATGTTATATATGCCGGAAGTTGTTAAGAATTTGGAATTAGTAATCCAATATTTTCTTGTGATAACGTTACTCATTGTGATAATAACAAAATAACTATCAAATGGTTTTTTTTTTTTCTGAAGGGAAAACACTATAATCATGTCTGGGTACTTAAACTAAGAAATTATTATGAAATTTTGGATTTTTTAGTTTAGAAGATGCCAAAATTCTATCAATTTCTTCAACGAGCTTCAATAAAATTCTATCAATTTCCTTTTGATCATATCATTCAATGCTTGTATGGTATCACTCCATCTACGAGAACTAGATAGGTCGTTTATCAAAGTGGAGAGATGAGAACCAACAAAACCTGAAGCATAAGCAAAAGTAGAAGCAGCCACTCTCCGAATCATCGACGAAATCTAAGCTTCAGTGCAAAGACAGATGCGGAATCAGACCTCAAGATTTTGAAGTCCCTACTGAAATATAACTCATTTTCTATATAAAAAAACGTAGAGGAATACACATTTATACACCCCTGAATCTATGTAAAAAATCCATCTATAGGAACATTGAAACCTGCTGTACATCGTAAACAACTAATAACCAACCCTCAAACCCTCAATCGCCGCTTGAAACCAACTGAAGCATTTTGAAGAAAGTAACACTAAATCCCTGTACTCGACTCAACATCGCAGACAACGCAGAAGAGAAGAGAGGAGCAGTAACACATCACCCGAAATCTACTCACATACAAATCCAATTCAATCGACACTTTAAACAAACTGAAGCCTGTAATCGACTAGATAAACAATAGTAGGACCAACAGAAGAGAAGAGATGATGACGATCTAACCTGGGAATCGAAGGAGAATCGCGAAGATTCACGTCAGAAGCTCGACCTGTCGTCGTCGGAGGTTTCGCCAGACGTCGCCTGTCGCGCGCCGCCGCCTGTCGCGTGTCGCCGGAGGAATTTCCGAGGAGAGGGCTGGATCATCAAATCTATCGATCGACTGAGGAGAACCCTAAATCCCAATTTGGGATTTTATGTTTTTTTTTTCTTTCTCAAATCAATTTCGGTTCCAAATCAAAAACCGAACCGGATTTTAAATTTAATCCGGTTAGTAAAACCGAACTAGTCAATATTTCAATTTTTCAATTTGATTACATTTTAAAAGTTTTTAATTTTACTGAGAACGACAACGGCAAGGTCTCGGTTTAAAGCAGACACCTTTCATACAAAATCCAATATTTTACAAAGATCACATCTTTATCCATATAATGTTCTCGCTGTTGAGTTGCTTGATCTTCAATTCGTTCCTCAGTTAGTATACTAAGAGCGCATGCCACGTGTCCGCCATGGCGATCCTCTTCCCGACACGTCTCTCTCTCTCAATTCTTCTTTGCCCCCCCCTCTCCCCCCCCTAGTCTCTGCTCAGTCGCATCGAACCCACTGCGTAAGTGCTTCGCTCTCTTCCCTCCGCTGTTCTTCGCATTTCGTCGTTCTTCATTGCCTCATAAAGTCAGTCTCTGAATCACCATTTTGTCGTTACAAGTCCGATTTGTGTTAGGTTTAAGTTGTTGCTGTTGCTATAACGAGGATGTGCTGGGGCGCCCCACTTTGGCTGAAATGTGTAAACTTTCAGGAAAATTTTGACAATTTGACCGTTACAAATGTGTTCTATGGGCCAATTTCCACCACTATTCTTTGTATTTTTCGGAGACTAGATGAGAAAAAGGGGAAACATGTCGAATTCGAATTTCTGGGTTTGCTTGTGTTTGGAATCTAAAAGCTCTTGATCCTTTACTTTCCTTTAAAAAACCAAAAAAAAAAAAAAAAGATTGTTCTTGATCCCTCTTGAAACCCCCTTTTACACAAGGTTAATAAAAGTATGAACTTCATATTGATGCAACAAAAAAAACATATCTTTCTCATTGATATGGAGTTCTGTGTTTGTTCAGGAGTCACTCGGATGAAGAGCAATGGAGGTCGTGGGTTTGGTTTATGGATTTGTTTGCTCGATAGTTTATGTAACGACGAGGCCGTTAGTGATCTGCATTTCATCATGCCTGTTCTGTCTGAAAACAGCTTTGATCACCCTCTTCATGTCTGCTGATCTCTTGAGCTCTGCTATCTGCTTCCACGTTAACATGCTCTTGAGGGCAGTGTTGGGCACGCTTTGGGGTTTGCTCTTGCTTTTGACGCTCCCCATTCGCTTCTTCGCTTTCATACCTCGAGAAAGACTGGTTAGTTTTCAGATTCTTATGGATTACTGGCAAGATTAGATTCACTTTTACCGGTTCATGATGTGAAATATTAGGTTAGAGACCCTCAAAATCATATGAACCAAGTTGATCCGATTGACGCTACAGATTAGGTTGATTAAGGAATGGATCTTTTGTTTTTGTTGTAGAATAGTTTCAGGGGAATATGAAGCAAGACTTAAATGCTTGTCCTTTCAATTCGGTACATTCAAGATTCTTGTATAGCCACTCTGCAAACTAAACGATAGTGTATGACATTATGGACAACCCTAGTCTCTGCCTCTGTAAGTATTGGAGCTTCTAAAAGTATTTGAATACCTTTTTGTAACCAACGTAGGTTGTGTTATTCAATCCCCCCGGGAAAGTTATCGTGCAATTCTTTGTCACTACTCACCGGTTTTTCTGAGAAGGATCCTTGTGTTTGCAGCTTGAGCAAAGTATGTATGAGATGCACTGCGAGTTGGAGAATCTTGAATGGAATAGGGAAGAAATAGAGAAAAACCTTCAGGCAGCTATCAATGAGTACCGGGTTATGGAATCAGAGTTGGCTGAACTTGCAGAGGATCATAATGAAGCCATTTCCAAGATTGAAAAGTTGGAGATTGAGGTATATATATATGTATATGTTCCGTGCACTTGCTTTTCTTGAATTAGAAAGGGTAGACATGCAGAAAACAATGCCTGAACCTTGTATCTGGTTCTGACAGTTGCAGGATTTGAAGGAGGAAAATCTTCGCCTGAAGGAAGTCCAAGGCAAAGGGCATTGGAGCACAAAGGGCCATGCCGAGGCTGATAAAGATCCAACCACTTCCTCTACCGAAGGTCGCAGCGCTCACTCTGGAACTTCTGCATCAAAGTCCAGACATGATCAACACACTGCAAATCTCCAAGCCACTAGACCGACGAAAATTCCACACGGGCAGAAGAGAAAGGCCGATGGAACAGTACTTAGATCCCCTCCCTACCCATTCGGGAATGACACTGTCCTAAAGGGGGAAGGAGAATCTGAAGTTATCGGCTCGGAAAGGGGAATTGCCTTATCTAGAAGCATTTTCAGTGCGGTCCTCTCGGTTCTAGTGGGACTGATCATATCAGAAGCGAAGCAAGAGGATTTATGCACGCCCCTCGTGGGAGCTCTCTTCACAGTGGTCGGCATTTCCCTAAAGAGTGTGGTTCAGTTCTTCTCGAGCGTTAAGAACAAACCCGCATCAGACGCAGTCGCTCTCATGAGCCTAAACTGGTTCATACTTGGCACTCTTACATACCCAACTCTACCGAGAATGGCTCGGACGGTAGCCCCGGCATTGTTCAGCACCACAGGCTCGGTTCTGACATCGATCGGCCGTACAGTCCCTTCATGAAGCATGGTTCAGGACAAAACTCTGTAACATACTTTAACAAAAATTCTGTAACATATATGTCCTCTGAAACGGTCTGAACAGCAGAAGTTTCGTTTCACGGTGTCAATCGTCTTGTGAATATGTAATCGATGAATGGTTTTTTTTTTAATCTGGTGAGATTCAAATCTTGATGGACCCTAAACCAGATCATGCTAAAGTCATCAAAGAAACCGACAAGAACGAAATGACCCTGTAACTCTCAAGGGCCCGGATATGAGTTGGCTGATGAATGAATGGGATACTGAAAACAGCTCTCGTGACGTTGTTTATTGCAGAAAAATGGAGGTGACAGGTACATATATATAATATATATATGTATAGTGTTTTAGTCGTCTTATGTCACGTTTTCTTCGTATGATATGAACATAACATCACCATATATATGAACACAATCATGTTTTCAGCGGAAGAAGAGATGAGTTTAAGTCAAAAAGTGTGTTTGGAAGGAAGAAAAACATCGACATGTGAGATGTAAATGTCTATCATGTTTCAACCCGTAGAAGTAACAAGTGTGAAAGTACAGTAATTAGATTCTCGGCGCCGTGTAATGTTGCCAAACCCTAATCGTACGTTCACATTCAGAACATATGAATATTATATTTTATGTCCGAAAATTTCACATCTGGTGACTTTGTTTTCCGCGTGAGATGGGTTTAAAGATATGATTTTTCTTCTTCTTTTTTTTTGACGAATTATGTATTTATTATTGTTTTGGATAAATCTTGGAAAATATCGGATTGATTGGTGGGGACAAATCTATGTCAACTTACGACCATAATCAGAACAGCTACAATCCCATTAAATTATCTTCTTTTCCAATGTGATGATTGTTCTTCTTTTATTTATTTTTTACAATTTATTTTAATGAAAACACCCATATTCTATGTCGAAATGGGATTTCTATTATCTATAATGACATATATATATATATATATTGTATATATGTGTTTTTGGTTTAAAAAAGTTTTAGTATTTGCATCACTCGTTCAGGAGAAAAAACACAGAATTACATGTTTTAATTAGGAAAAATGGTACAGAATCTATACCATGAAATGGATCGTGCACACTTGTCGACCATCACAGGTGGGGAATCATATTCCTCATATATATATATATACACACACAAAGGATTTGTACAGGACGACGGATCGGATCCAAGAAAAGAAATAAATCTCATTTACCATGCGTAATCATACCTCATCCAAAAGACTTTAATTCACCGCAAGATAATTAGAGATAAATACGAAATCTATTACCAAGGATATCCTCTCAAGAAATGGTTTAGGATATTCCGATACAAGGAAGCATAAAATATTAGTTTCCGTCAAGAGCTAAAATTCAATAAAAGAGGCTTTTAAAAGTAGATATAAAGACCGTTTATATTCTTCTCCTCCTAACATTTTCTAATAGCTTTCTTCCATATGAAGGCGCTTGGACGAATTTTAATGTAAGGGTTTCACATTTTATTTTAAAAAACCATATAGTTAAATAATTATAAACGCCAATGGTATGACGTATTTACATTATATTATTTATTTATTTTGTGTTTGGAATCCCTTAAAATTTGAAGTCTTTCGTATTTTTTCCTTTAAATGGAGTGCGTCTTTATTTATTTGTGTGAAAAAAGAACGAATATCCCAGGTAACTATTTTTTTTTTTTCACGTCACTGAAGCAACGTAACGCGGTCAAGCTCCACGTGGCACAAGCATGTCACGGGAACGTGATTTTACTGTCTCTCCACGTCAGACCGGTGGCGTTTTCCGTAATTTCGTTCAAATCCGGGTCGGATGTTACTCAGAAATCACAAAAGCAGAAGACCAAGTGGGGCACGTGGTCTCTCACTATTGGTCCGTCACGGGTATAAATTGACTTACCTTCGGAGGCCGAGTGACCATTGTTTGGTAGGGCTACTCGCTTACAAGAAGCCATTTTTGCCATATTCGCCATAGAAGTTTAGAACCAAAACTCTGTGTTACGTTCCCTCCTCTCTGTCGTCCTTCCTATTTTTAGAGAGAGAGAGAGAGAGAGAGAGAGAGAAGACGAGAGAGTTACCGGCGGGCTCGGATTCGCTTGGTGCAGGTCGGGAACTGATTTGGCTGACACAGCCCGTGCTTTGTGCTGCTTGGTCGGATCCCGCCTTGCATCAACTGAATCGGAGCCCGGGGTGAATCAGCCGAGGATCCATGGATCTGAGCGCCAGAATTCAATCTCTTTTCTATCTATTCCATGTCACGGGTTTCACGTTTCAGATCTCTGGTCCTGAACCCTGAAAAAAGTTCTCATTTTCAACCATTTCGTACTCTGAATGTGTTGAAACGCAGTTGTTTGATCCAGTGCTGGGTTTCCCCAAATCGCGGTGTTTACTTTCAATCTCTGTTCCTCGGAATTACTAGCCTTTGTTTTGTTTATAGGCTGATGCCCCTTGGCCTTGTCTGAAGAGTTATGGGTGGGTGTTACCGTTTTTCGTATGGGTTGTTATATCTGGAAACACATGGACTCAGGATTTTATCTTCCAGTCTTAGATCTTATCTTATTTAGGAAAGGCGAAACCTTTTCCTAACTGTCTTTCTCTATTTCTGTTTGTTATCTAATTTGAGTTTGAAGTACTTCGTTAAAGTTTGAACCTTTTTTTTTTTTTGTTTAATCTCTTGAAGATGTCCAATCCATTTAACCCTCATGCTAATTTTGGATTTGTTCGTGGATTTCTGTAAAACCCAGATGCAATTCCGGTGAACTTTGTGATGTCACTCAACGATTTCACAAGATTTCTGCTCTCTGATCTCTCAGGAAGGAAGAGGAACCATAAAGCTGGAGACTTTTGAATTGTTAGGGTTTATGTACTTCGTGTTGGTTAATGCCCTATTCAATCGAAGGTGACACATTCATTGATTCCCATTCAATTGAAGGCACTCACTTGTTCTTGTTCTTGTTTTTTTTTTTCCTTCTCAACAGCAGGTTGGATAAATTCTGCACAGATCCAAAAGAAAAAACTCTGTTCTTGGAAGTTTGGCTCATTTTGTGTATAATCATATGTAAATACGATCCGAGGTCCACTTGTCTACGTTCTTTGGAGATTTTCCATGTCTGATTAAGATTAGATTTCATCTCTAATATATTTTTTTTCACTTGTGTCTGATTGTTCATGTTGCAGAATATTTCAAAGTTTAGAGCGGGAATACTTTTTTATTTCTGCTAGAGTGAGGAAATTAAGACTTGTATTTCTTGTATCAATTATAACATTCTATTTGTAAATTAGATTTAGCCATTGTTTTAACAAGTTGTCTGAATGATTTTTTTATGACAACAAATAAATAATCAGAATCAGAATATCTTGTAGCATGGACCTCCCTTTTTCCCTCTTTTGTTTCTTCTGTTGATGGATGTAAATTGTCAAAAGTACAAAGTGGAAGATCACATGATTGTTTTGGTTTTGTCGGTGAATGGAATATTATATTATCATCCTTTGTTCTTGCCCGGTTTTGAAACAATATTATTATAAACAATATAATATACTATAAGAATATTTTCAATGACATTAAATATAAAATTCATATTCACTAAATATGCCTTGGAATATGTTAAATAATCATTCGATCGCAATTTGCATGTTTGGTAATATCTCGTAGCAGTGAAATTCGTGTGTGGTGGGTGAGTCCTCGCATCCAGAAAAGTTGTAAGCTTTCCGCAAAAGTCGGTCCTATCATTACATTGGATCATGGATGCATTCAAATCAGTCCAAAAAAAAAAGGTTTTTGTCAATGGCTCGTTCCTTGATTTTAGGCCTCTCTATTGTTTTTCCACTGGTCCGAATCTGACATAATAGAACTTGAAACTAAAAATACTTCAGCAATTTTTTTTTTGTTGACAAGTAGGATGGTTATCCGAACCTTAGACCCGACTACATTCACTCTAACACCAGCTTTTATATATGAACCATTTTGATCCAGAAATTATATCACTTTCCACCGATCGATTCAAACCAGGACCTTAAAAAATATTTCAGCAATCTTAATATACAGAACAAAATTAAAGATGAACAGCATGAGAAATAGCTGAAACAATTCAAACGGAAATATTTTTTTTTATAAAAATAAATGGTAATGTCTTCCAAAAGCTACATATTGATGCAGAAATATACACCAAACTGTGTTTTTGCAGTGACCCTTTTGAAACTCAATCCTCCTTTAGTATCTCCATTGATAATATCCCCTCTGGTCTTCGTTGATCAACTCAGGCCAGTAACCAGTACGAAGAGAAATAGAACAGCGAAGAAGATTTGTATTTGATTGGTTTTCAGTTTCATGGAGATACTCGGTAAGATGAATTGGAGCCAAAGATCGTGTGATTGAACAACAGATATCATACAACAGCATACCAGTTACTCCGGTAATAAAGCCTGCTAAGTTTGCATATGATTGATTCCTCTTACTGGCCGTCGTGGGTGTTGAAAGTTAGAGGCTTTTCCGACTAAGCTGCCAGGCAAATTGATCGACTGCAGCCATAGCACGAGAGGCTGAACCAATCGAGCCGTCATACCTGCCACAGGCCGGCCATCCATTCATTCAGAATGTTTCAGACTTCACGAACTATTTGCAAGTAAGAACAGACACAATGGAGAACTAAGTGTGCACTTACAGAGCGACCAAGACATGAGCTGATGTTTGCAAGACGATGGCACCTTCCCCAGCAGGCTGGGTCGTGTTTAAGCACCGTGCAGCAAACCAGTTCTCGTGAACAGAGGTCACCAAATCTGCAGACCAAGTCCCGTTAAACTAAATATTTTGGGAAGGAAAAGAAATAGAACATCTGGGTTTGGAAACAAGATAACAGTAAAAGTAGAATCGAGTGAACCGGTTGAATGCACAAGTTGTTCCGGAGATGGAATGGACTTACATTGGTTAGACCCGAGAACAAAAGTCTCGGTTGGAAGATTGCCGCGTCTTATGAAATCGATGAATTGCCTCAAGTCAACAGGATACAGTTTTATCCCCTCTTGCTCAGCACTGCAAGCACTCATCACATGGAGCTTCACATTAGGCGAATCTGAGTAAAAGAGAGCAGTAAATCAGAAAAATACTTCTTCATCTGAATGGCAGTAAATCCATGTGCCCGTGACAACGGATAGAACATTTTGCTTAATGAAAACAAGCCTTCTTTTCATGTTCTTCCCAACAAAAAAACCAGGCACTGACAGAGTTTCATGCTAACCATAGGACATGAACGAGATCTAAAACTCAAAACCTCAAATCTGTGTCATTCCTCAATTGCAAATCTGATAATATGAATTCTTACGAAACAACGACTACGGTGGAAAGTATACGCGACGGGTAAGAAGAAAGCTACTCAAGACTCTACAGGAACGAAGCGAAAATCAAGTAAGTTGCTAAACGAGGATGTTGCATAACGGCATTTGGAACCAAAAGAAATCCAAGACCATCATGCATTAACAGCCAAGGCACCGTGTGTGCATCCCCATGCCATGCATTCTTGATTCTTAATCTAGAAACCAATGCCACCTATATCTGAAAAATCGGAAGTTCGAAGGAACAACCACAAGGACAGAGAGAATTCAACTGAAAACTTTAGGTAATCTAAGCTTAGACAATTGGATAAGATATCTGCATCCCAACAAACAAACTCGACAAGTTCCCAACAAGACGCAGAATCAGTTCCGATTCATATTCTCCTTGAAAAGCGCGCATCTTTGAACAAATTTACAGGAAAAGAACCAAGCTTTGGGGAAAGAAGAAAAACAAGAAATGAGGAAAAGCATGAGCTTACATCGTAGATAGAAGACGAGAAGGTCCTGTAGGGTCGTAGTTGATTAAAACAGCAGCCTTCAAAGGATCGCCTGAAATTTTCAGCAGCCGAATCACCACCACAAGGTCATATAGTTCAGGGTTCTTGCGAACTGAGAAACCCTAATCGAAGAGAAACAGTAAGTGACTGACCGGAAGAGCCGACATTTCCCGAAACCCATTTCTCCCAAGATCTGTGCACAAACGCCCAATCCATCGTTAACGAGTGAAGATATTCCGACCCGTAATCTTCCTCGAATAAAATCGGAAGCTTGAATTCCCAACAGAATGAACCCTAATTCACCCACCACAGTAAACAGTGCTCATTCTGGGAAGTGGGCAATGGGCAGGCTCTCTCTCTCTCTTATTTTGTGGAAAAACTGGAGCTTTCACCCTTTTTCCAGGCAAATTTGAAAAATTTTCTTCCTTTTTTTTTGCTGCGGCAAATTTGACAAAAGGTTGAAAGATTAGTATACAAAAATTTTCTCGTAGAAAGTTTTAGTGCGGTTCTTCATCACTCCATAATTACAAAACTTCAATTAGGATCTGAAGCGTAATCATCATCCCTATGTATATTTTTTCTTTATAAACTAAAAAAAATTCATATTCCAAATGGGCAAAATATCGACGGTATTACAAGATTTTCAAATCCATCGTTGTGATTACAAATAGTGAAAAATGCTTGAGAACAGAACAGCAATCATCGCACATCCAATTTCCATGCTTAGTTTTTAAATATTGTAATTCCAATAATAGGGACAATTTTATTAAAAAAAAATGAAGAATAAATATTAAACATAATATTTAGTCCTCAGAGGAGACGGCAGGGCAAGTTGGGTTGCATGGGTACGTTGGGCAATCCATCTTCTTGAATGGGCTCCGGTCATTGAACCAATCCCCAACGGCCTTCGCAATTTTCTGAAGAAAAATTTTAAATATATATAAATCATTAATTTAAAAATCAAAATTAAATAAACAAAAAAAAAGTTCCAATAATTAATTATTTATGTACCGTGTCATCGACACTGGGGCCTTGGGAGCCGGACCATGAAGCCGCGCTTCCGCCCTGGCAATGAGCATGGCACGAGTCCAGGAACAAACCACCTGACGCCATGCTCTGAACCGGTGCCAATGCATTCAACATCTGGTCCCTAAACCCTGGTATTATATTAACCGAACGGTTCAGGTGCCAAACCGGAAATAACCAAGGCACGATTTCGGTACAATGTTCGGATCCAAATTACTTTACCTTGAACGGTTTGGAGCTGGGCGGCGGTGCATTTCTTCAGATCGAGCTTGCAATTCTTCCACTCTTTACTTTTATCAACAGCAGTCGGAGCCAAAACGTTCTTAATCTGCAAAAAAAAAAAACTATGTAATTCAACACGACTCATTTGTATATGTATACGGATATATTTTAGTAAACTAGAACATACATATATATATATATATGTGTGTGTGTATATATAAGGCTAAAAACGTAAGAATTGCAGACCTGCCAAGAATCGAAAGCGGCGTTCACCACGAAGAGCG